ATTCCGAAATTGATGTACGAAAATGCATTTGCGTCTCGTAGATTAGACAATTTTTTAAAATATGTGTTGCAATTAACTGAGGTGGAAATTAAGTGAGATTGCATTTAGTTAGTATGGAAAATTAACTAACCACCAGTCTTTTTATATGTGCCAATATAAGTTAGTTCGGTTGCATGTATGTTGGCGGTGTGAGGTGTCATTCCAACAGATATTTTGAGTCAACGTATTTGGATGATCAATATATTTATCGAAATTATTTTAGATTTCACCCACAAGGAAGCAATACTTCATGTAATGTTCAATTATATAAGTCAGTCGATTGACAAATGTTTGATTTTGAATTCTATTGTACTGATGATATTTCGTGTTATATGACATATGTTGTTATAAATTCATTATGAGCAGTTTAAAAATACCCACAGAACAGTGGAACGGAAAGAATATTTGAGAGAACCACTGTTTTCAATGACTTCATTATCAGGCTCTATATTTGTAAGTCCGTAATTACTGTGATATTTTACGAAGGCCAAAATAAGGCATACATTAGTGAATTTGATGATGTTATATATTGGAAATGGTGAACTTTCGAATCTGTTTTAACATTCTTCAAACTTGTGTTATTTGTAAATTAGAAAGGTCATTTAATAAAGGTCAGAATGATTTGTAGTAGTGTCAAGTTATAATCAATATTTCGATAGTGTAATAAGACGAAGATTATCAGAACTATGTGATATATTAGCACAATACATTTCGAACAATCTGATCACCTATGAATAGTTAAGAGCATTTATAAATATTGCGCTAGCATATCACATAGTTCTGATAATCTTCGTCTTCTTATTACACTATCGAAACTTATCAAAGGGACTAATTGCTTTATGATCAATATAATAGCAAAATATTAAATCGTATAAATAAAATGAATAGTAGTGGAATTTCGTCTAGTTAATCGAGGTAATAACAATAATAATAATAATGATAATAATAACTTCGTTTGAATAAAATATGTAAAAAGAGAGGCGTTGTAAAGTAACTTCTGTAAAAGAAGTTCACGTGGATTGGAAAAGATGAATGCGTAGAATAAGAAAGATAGAAACACAAAATCAAATGGGAGAGGAATAACAGATTTACAATATCCAGTCCAGGTATTTGGTGATCCGGTAGTGGACTAGGGTAAACATATAGGTTGGATATACCTCTTCTGGATTTATAAGTTCGTTTCTCTGGAGCTGATCCAGATGGCTTCATCTATGTAGATAAGCCATAATCTAGTACCTTCAGGTAGATCGTTTGGAACTTGATATTAAGAGATAGGTTCATCTATTTTAATTTAATCTTCACCATCTACTAAGTGAAAGGGAATGGTGCTGTTACAGATATAGTGACTCCTTTTCCCAAACATCCTGATACATGTGTAGTGACCTACTTTTGTCGACAGAACGCGATTGGTTCAATGAAAACAATTATTATTATAACCAATTGTGCCAGTGATTGTTTTACTGTGCTCGTTTGTTTAACTATGCTAATGACAGCCATTACACACTCTCTCCCGTTGACTTTGAACTTGTACGAATTCGGTTAGGCTTAGTAACCACGCTTGTACTCCTTTGGCACGATCTCGGTATTCTTTCGATACCACGAGATCGCCAGCAAATACATCTCGACTACAGCCATCATCTGCCTTCTGATATTGACCTACGGGGATCTTTTTGGTTAACTGGCACGTAGTCTTCTTTTAGCGGTGTTCATAGTCAAGCGCGACTCGACACCACGCAACACATGTTTCGTGAACGAGTTCTTAGGTGGGGTAGACCAATGTACTGTCAAAGCCAAATTACAGACTGCTTTCGTAATATATGTAAACCATATATTAAATACATCATTTTCAGATGTTATATTAGTTGTCCTTTACATACTTCATGATTCTTTCAATTCTGTTGTTATTACAACTACATTGTTTTCTCTCCTCTTCTCAATTGAAACTTTTCAAAATGTTGATGGAATGCATTCCGATTCCGACAGACACTACATACTACTTATAACAGGAAAAATAGGTAGCATAGACCATACATATTCACAAACACACAAGTATAAACCCCTGTGGGTACAACTTATGTTACTAGGTCCATTGGAACAGATGAATCGGTATACACATATGAAGGAGCCTGTCTTTGGAAACCTATTCTTGGCTTATTGTGTAAGTACTGGTTTGGTAGAGAAGATTACATGTAACTTGGCGTCACTTTAGATATGAACAAGACAAAGTACCCAGATGAAAGAAATATCATTCTGCGTAATCAAACTAAGTTCCGAACGCATGAGTCATGTAAAGACCTTGATGAAAAGATCGAATGTCAGTTAACCACGACATAAAAACATTTTAAATGATATCAATGCACCTCTGAGAATGCCTATATTGGGCTCAAGCCTTCTGGAATACATCCCCCTCGACTCCATGACCTATCCACGATTCATAAACTAGAGATTCGTTTACGTCGAATTACAGGCATGTCAAACTCACCATACCATTCAACAACAAAATGGTTGGTGAGATTATTGGAACCATTAAGTCAGTCAGTCAGCAACAACGCAGAACTTCGTACGTACGTATATCAGTTCGAGTTGCCATACCACATTAGCACAAATATACAATTCTCGATTCAAACCAATTAGTGGTAGAGGTAGTAAAAATATAAGCAGTAATTGGAAACATTAGCGTTTGACGATATTATTCAAGGAGTATCGTCCACTGAAATAAATTTAAATAGAAAAAGGGACATGAAAAGTGCAGAAGATTAGAATTTGGAAGAACACAAATAGTGAATTAACATGCGCCATGTCATTCAAGGTCTCTAACCATCGGTTGCTATCATCTCGCTGTCCCCAACCAAGTAGTCTACATCTACCAACATGGCTCAGTCCACTTGTCAGTGACTTCATGGATTTGTGCCATGTTTTGGTCTGGCCGCCCCTAGCTTCCTTCCAACCTACTCCTACACCATAAAACATCGCACGTCGGGGCAGTCGGTGGTCGGGCATGCGCAACACATGTCCCAACCATCTCAACTGATTAAGTTTCACTACTTCATCAATTGATTTGTCATCCTTACCTAGTACCCGTTTCCTAACAACTGAGTTGCTTACTCGGTGGTCCCAGAATATGCGGGCAGTGTTTCAAAGACACCTACGATCAAATACTAGTAACCTACGATTATCCTCTACTCTTACTGGCCATGTTTCACTGCCATAAAGTAGGACAGAACGAACTGCTGAGCAGTAAACCCGTCCTTTTGTTGATAGACAGATATCTCGCCTACGCCACAAATGACGCAAGTTGGCAAAAGCTAGTCGAGCCTTTTGTATCCGTGCTGAGATTTCGTCACACACCAGACCACGAGGGCTGATGAGACTTCCAAGATAAGTGAAGCGGTAGACACGCTCAACTACTTCACTCCCTATCACTAGTTCGGGTGTCGACGCAACCCAATCCTGAAGCAACACTTTGCATTTCGAGGGAGAAAATCGCATGCCGAACATGCCTGCATTGTTGCTTAGAGTGGTCAGCAGACTCTGCATTTTGTCAGCGTCTTCACCAAATAGAACTGTCATCAGCATACTCTAAGTCAACAAGTGAATCGCCCGGTAGAAGTTCAACTCCTAGAAATTTAGATGAGGAAAATGTCATCTCTAAAAGGACGTCAACAACATAGTTAAACAAGAATGGAGAGAGTGGACAGCCCTGACGAACACCACTTGAGGTAATCAATTCTGATGACAGTTCACCATAAGCTCTCACTCGACCAGTTGTGTTCGAGTAGAGAGCCTTCATAAGATTAATGTACTTCTTTGGTACTCCCTTCAGTGACAAACACTGCCGTAGAACCTCACGATCAACAAAGTCAAATGCCGCCTTAAGGTCGAGAAATACTATCATTGTGGGGCGTCTGAATGTGTGTCTATGTTCTAGGACCTGACGTAGTGTGAATATTTGATCTATACAACCACGTCCAGGTCGAAAACCAGCCTGGTTTTCTCTAGTCTGCTCTTCAAGAGCTTTGGTTAGACGTCGAAGTATTATTGAAGCTAATATTTTAGACACTATATTAGTCAAATAATTCCTGTGATTGTCACAGAAGGACTTTTGTCCTTTCTTATAGACTGGTACAATCAGTGATTGAGACCAGTCAAATGGGATTACGTCCAGTTCCCAGATTCTACCTAAGACCTCAGTTAATCTCACTGCTAATACTGGACCGCCATCCTTAAAAATCTCAGGGGTAAACCTGTCAGGGCCTGCTGCTCTCCCTCGCTCCAGATTTCCTATAGCTTTTCCAACTTCGTAAAGATTCGGAGGACCTATATCAACTTGCCATTCAGGTCGACTCTGTGTTTGATCATCGTTGTTTTCGAAGGATTGCTGACGTCGTGGCAATACCATGTTAGTAATGCAAAGGTTCAGCATCATGTGTTTGGGCACAGCGACAATAATTGAATTGGTGTGGTATGAAAAAAAGATGCACAAGACTGGCTTCTTTTGTTCCCTCACGACTCCCAGGTTGAGGTCCTAGAAATGATGTAACACAGTGGCTTGAGACGTTATCAGATACGACTCAGAACAGAAGTCAGTGGCGATCCTGCTGTAACTTTCTTCATAAAATTGAACGTAGTTTCTTTAACTAGAAGAATTCTTTCTGACTAAACCTTTGCTAACTGAACTACCTCTCCCATTATTATTGCACTGTCATGCAGTAATTTCTGTTCGTTATTGTTACACACTTTATATCTCTTTACATTCTCATTGTTATTGTATAGCGCATATGTTTTTGGTGCATCTTTGTACCAATATTTAGGTGTTCAAATAAATAAATCGACTACAAAAGGAGTAAACTGTTTGATCGCCGTAATTAAATGTATGTCAATCACCAGTCGTCCAAGTATTTTTTTAATTATTAGTTTCGTCATAACAAAGAATCGTAAGCAGAAATGAATTAACAGAAATATATGATGCATAAGACTATTTTATTTTATAACACAACTATCGAGAAACGAAGCGAAAACATCATAAAGTCAAAAAAAGAAATATTGGAAATTAGTAGAGATCAGGCAGGTAGTCGTAAGTCACGTCCTTTCATAACTGTAAACAAAAGAAAGAGATACGTTAGTTAATTAGGTGACGTTGATTATTGGTCGAATTAGTCATTAGTTCTGTGCAATTAAATCGTAATTAATGACGAATTCTATATAATGGAGCCCAAATGGACCGTACTAAGGAGCAGTTTCTGGTAATGCATTTTTGATTAACATAACACGAGCTAAATATCTCTATTCAAGTTGTGAATGATAAGGCTCTTATCCGTAGTTTAAACAGCAAAGTTCGTTTTATCGTCAAATTGGCTATCGTGAAGAACAATTTATACCTAATATAAGTTTAAACCTTAATTGACGAGCGTTTTATCAAATCTCTGGAAGATGTTTAACGTAATTTTGTGAAGCGAACAGAGTATGAAAAGTTAAACCAACCAGTTTCAACCAAGAATTTGAGTATTGCAGTGTCCAAAGACTTATAATGACGGCAATCTTATGTACTAATACTGGCTTTTCTTGAGCCTTGAAACAGTATATATTAGAATAAGGATAGAAATAAATGAACTTTCATAATCGTATCTTTGATTGACTGCGTATCTAGCTCTGTTTTAACTAAACATAACTTTAAAACATATTCAGGAAACAAACTATTAGTCAATAAAATGTTGGGCGCCAGTTTTACAGACAAACCATGTATATGAGATCTTTACCATGAAAATTAAAATGAATTCTAAGACGTCAATAACGCATCTCAAAAGTGAAGAAGACCGATTACAATGATCATAGTACCCAGGCGGTGGGTAGTGGCTAACCATTTACTCATATCTTAATTGTTAGTCAGAACACTGTTTCCAAAATAGATTTTTCACTGAAATACTAGAGGTTACTAGAAACAATAAACAAAAGAGCCAAATAACAACATGAATGTAGACATATTGCATAAGAGCAGTTATGTTAACTAGTGGATAACATAACTAACAATTAGCTTCAGTCACTTAAAAACATACGCGAAAGCAAACATATACTTTACCTTTAGCTATATACAAATAGAAGAAGTCACAGTATAATAATGTTTGTACAATACCCGCAACAACAGCAATATAGTCGAGATAATCATCGAAAACATAACGGTATATCCAGTTGAACAAATACAACGCACGGTACGATCCTAACGCAAATAAGTAGTGAGAAGTGATTGTTTCAGCTTCGCCAGTTTTGCTAATCATAAACAACTGAGGCATAATAGCAACCGATTCCAAGTAAATTGAGAAAGCCCACAGTACCTTTGAGTAGTTAAGAAAATACAAAAAAAAACATGACATATTATAAAAGGAATGGGTAAAGAAAACTTGAAATAACACTCGGCATGTACAATATGAGACACATGACTAAAGAAATCATGATGATGACCAACTTACCATTGAAAAATGACTTAATAATGAAAATTTTTTCAGTAATCAAACCAACAAAAGTTAATGCTTTTAGTGATAAATTAGTAAATCAAAAGCTGGGTTTTGGGTGGGCCCAAATCTCACAACACTGAATATTAAGTTGTCAGTCTACTTCAACCAACACTTCCTATTGTTTATGGGAACGAAATGAAACGTCTGGAGACGGAAATAGCTAAACTGTGCTTTACTGTCTGTGACTCCACGTTTTAACGGTAAATTTAAACTTAAAAGTTGAAGCTAAGATTCGCGATTCGTTGACATCTATCTGTTTGTGACTCGTTTTATGTGAATTCTCGTGTTAAAATTAATCGGTTTTTTGTAAAAGATCTCTGAAAATGTCCGTCGACCTTTTCTGAAGAATAAAACGAAGCTATGATATCTTACATTGTAAACAATTCACAACTTATAGACCTAAGGTTTAGGTTGATCTATGTTTTAAACTTGCTGACCAGTTGATCATAAAGCTTCACTTTGCTTGACTCAATGGTTACTGTATAACAAGTTGTCATGAATTGGTTTGGCAACCTTATGGATTGTTTTCTTACGCTACTAAAATTAGTGTTTTTCGCAAATTGGAGTGGCGGTTTAATGGTCAATGTGTTCGACTTTCAGACACCAAGTCCCAGACTCAAATCCCATTCTATATACTTCAATTTGGTCAACCACGTAGTATCATTAGCCCTGATACTTGTATCCAAGTACCTAGTGAATGAGTAAATTACTGACTTACAGTGTCACTTTATAAACTCCTCACTCATGTTTACTTAGAATAATCTTCGAGTTAGTTTCTAGGACAGCATATATAAAACCTATCCAAATCATGTATTAAAAAGGTTTGCATAATCCCGAAAAAGTTAGAGACTGAGCAGTTTCGAACACGGAAACAAATGAAAATCGAAAGCCATTTTCCAGTGAATCAGCATACATATTTTCGATGCGCGTTTATCAAGCAATTGATCCACAGTATTTTAATTAGAAGGTTGCATTTAACCCCTTAACTGTTCTCATACCTTTCGCCACTCATTGTATTGTTAATTAAACACAAACTTATTCCTCAAACTTTGTATTAGAAATATCCTAATTATTAAGAGATTAGGTTTTATTTATGATGTATTGTGGACTTCTTTATATATGAATATACAAGTTAAGGTTCTTGCTTAACAGCATTCATATGACAACTAAAAATGAGAATAAGAACTGACTGAATACCTCCCATTGTTAGATTTAAAATTCAAAGCGTTGTTGGCGTAAGTAAAAAATAAAACAAGTATTAAGTAGATGTTGTCATTGTATGCAATATACCATACAAATGATTGATCAATACTTCAAGGTCTAGTAATCGGACTTAACAAGGATGGTGTAAAATAATTCACATTAAAGAGTTAGTTATGAAACACACCAAAAAGAAAACATAGCAACAAAAATTGCATTTTGTTGTTTGGATGATAATCATGATATTTGTCAAACGATTTGTTTAGGGCTCATTCTACTTTTTTATTTCTTATTGAATCTATAAAATTGTATGCATTGAGTAATCTTTCACTATAGTTTGAATTTGATTGGTTATCACATTACTATATATATATATATATATATATATATATATATATATATATATATATATATATATATATATATATAAACATTGCATTTTTGTTGTTTCAGCGTTTACAAATGATAACCGTTTCATTTTACCGAAAATCCTCAATTCCTATCACACATTTCAAAAGGTGCAATTACCTTAAATCAGACTAATGCTTTTTATGAACCATTCGGGCCCATGGAAAATAATATATCATTTATTAGGTATTTGAATATGAGAAACAAAGTGTGAGGGCTCTTGATACTACCTGGTTGGCCAAACCGAAGTAGGCGGGGTGGGGTTCAATCCTGAGACTTCGTTTCTAGGAGTCGGACGCCTTAATCATTGAGCCACAGCTACATTAACGCTTATAACTGGAACCCTATGAGGCTTTATGGAAAGGAATATTCTTCGTTCGTATATGCTTCAGTATTCGAAAAACTACGAAAGTTGCTTTTCTATGGAAGCCAAACACACTCATCTTATGTTCACCACTGATGACGGTTCGATTAAAAAAACAGAAGGATGTACTGTATGTTTATCTACCTCCTACCAAAACATGAAAAGTTGGCTTCGCTATGAAATTATAAGTGATTTATCGAGAGTGAAAGATTAATCTTCGAGGTACCTTAAAAGTTATCTCAAACGTGTAAGAAACATCAAGCTTTATGTTCATATATAGTATAATTCATCAGCTGGAGACCTTAAGTGACATAGACTTTAATCAGATATATTGATGAGGATGGATTACCTCTAGAATTAATTTGGACAAAAGAATTACAATTTTGGAGTTACGTACTTAGTCTTATTTCGGTTTTGTTTCTTGTTTTACCTGTTCAGTGTCGTTATGAAAGCTGGTTGTTTTGGATTTTTTGGTGTGAGCCAATCTAAACTGATGCACCATTATAATACCTAACTATAAATTGTTTCAGTTTCAGACAAATTACCAAAGTGAAAATCGAAAAATCTGTATTGAAGGCCTTACCTCATATAAAGAAAATTCGTAATTGGCCACTAATCCTAGAAGCAGACTGGGTATCAGCAACAAATACACAGCAAATGTATCATGATTAGAATCGTAGGTAGCCTTGAATTTGAAATACATGAAGTAGACGGTCGTACAAGAGCAAATGATGAAGAAAAGCTTCATGATGGTGTTATACAGTGAAATGAAATTGAAAAACAAATCCACATAACGTGATATAAACACAACCGCAAAAAGAAGTTGGGATTTTCCTGAAAGTCCTACAAAGTGGATAAAAGTAATTCAAGTGAAGTATATTGAAAAGGTTACATAAATCAACAAAATCGCCCACGTAGAGAACCGACAACTATTTGCGGACATTACCTCAATGACTAAATTTCACTCAAAAAGACATGAAAACACTCAATCCTTCCAAAATGGTTTTTAGATAAGTTAAGATATCGCAGGAACAATTTAGCACAGATCCATAATAGATTACTCTAAGGACGTATAATAAGCATTTGAGAGATCGTTCCTGGGATCAGTTTTGATTGAAGTTCGGAAACAGAAATACTTTTCGTCTGTACTTGAAGATACGCATTTCTCAGAAGCTTACGGTAAGGTTAAATCAATTATGTCCGAAGCCCTTCTAAGGTTACGGCAAGTCCCAAATCCGGATAAAGTTAATCGGGTGTGAGGTTAACAAAACCGTCCAGAAATATAGAACCTTGGTAGAAAAAAAAAACGACGACCAGGAAAGTCGCTTCAAAAATTAAAGTTTTGACTTAGAGGTTGAAGGGTCTAAATACCGAAGAGTTAGGAAGCCTCGTGGTGGAGGCCCAGATCCCTTGGAAGTCACGAGGACGATGTCCCGTATGACAACCGAAGCAATTATTTATCTGGGTACCAGAAATGTTTGCACAACGTGGAAGACTGGAAAGGTCACTCAAATAGTTACAGAAATGAATAAGGCAACCTTTCTTCCTTTAAATAAGTGAAACCCGTTGGACACAAAAGATTAGCTTTGAGAGAGGTGTCAGTATATTTTCGTCACGAAGAAGGAAATGCTTTGCACACACATGGAATTCCACTGATTCGCTGCAAAGTCAATCAGTAACAACGTGGAACTTCGTACGTACGTACATCAGTTCGAGTTGCCATACCACATTAGCACAGAGATTCAGTTATCAATTCAAATCCCATAGTGGAAGAGGTAGTGATAGGGAACATTAGGGTTTGATGATGTTATTTAAGGAGTATAGTCCAGTGGAATATATTTGGAAAGAAAATAAAGGACATGGAGAATTCAGAAGATTAGAATTTGAGAGAACACAGAGAGTGGATGCAGCTGCGCCATTGCAAATGATTTTTAGTCATGTCATTCAAGGTCTCTAACCATCGGTTGCTATCATCTCGCTGTCCCCAACCAAGTAGTCTACATCTACCAACATGGCTCAGTCCACTTGTCAGTGACTTCATGGATTTGTGCCATGTTTTGGTCTGGCCGCCCCTAGCTTCCTTCCAACCTACTCCTACACCATAAAACATCGCATGTCGGGGCAGTCGGTGGTCGGGCATGCGCAACACATGTCCCAACCATCTCAACTGATTAAGTTTCACTACTTCATCAATTGATTTGTCATCCTTACCTAGTACCCGTTTCCTAACAACTGAGTTGCTTACTCGGTGGTCCCAGAATATGCGGGCAGTGTTTCAAAGACACCTACGATCAAATACTAGTAACCTACGATTATCCTCTACTCTTACTGGCCATGTTTCACTGCCATAAAGTAGGACAGAACGAACTGCTGAGCAGTAAACCCGTCCTTTTGTTGATAGACAGATATCTCGCCTACGCCACAAATGACGCAAGTTGGCAAAAGCTAGTCGAGCCTTTTGTATCCGTGCTGAGATTTCGTCACACACCAGACCACGAGGGCTGATGAGACTTCCAAGATAAGTGAAGCGGTAGACACGCTCAACTACTTCACTCCCTATCACTAGTTCGGGTGTCGACGCAACCCAATCCTGAAGCAACACTTTGCATTTCGAGGGAGAAAATCGCATGCCGAACATGCCTGCATTGTTGCTTAGAGTGGTCAGCAGACTCTGCATTTTGTCAGCGTCTTCACCAAATAGAACTGTCATCGGCATACTCTAAGTCAACAAGTGAATCGCCCGGTAGAAGTTCAACTCCTAGAAATTTAGATGAGGAAAATGTCATCTCTAAAAGGACGTCAACAACATAGTTAAACAAGAATGGAGAGAGTGGACAGCCCTGACGAACACCACTTGAGGTAATCAATTCTGATGACAGTTCACCATAAGCTCTCACTCGACCAGTTGTGTTCGAGTAGAGAGCCTTCATAAGATTAATGTACTTCTTTGGTACTCCCTTCAGTGACAAACACTGCCGTAGAACCTCACGATCAACAAAGTCAAATGCCGCCTTAAGGTCGAGAAATACTATCATTGTGGGGCGTCTGAATGTGTGTCTATGTTCTAGGACCTGACGTAGTGTGAATATTTGATCAATACAACCACGTCCAGGTCGAAAACCAGCCTGGTTTTCTCTAGTCTGCTCTTCAAGAGCTTTGGTTAGACGTCGAAGTATTATTGAAGCTAATATTTTAGACACTATATTAGTCAAATAATTCCTGTGATTGTCACAGAAGGACTTTTGTCCTTTCTACCAATTAGATTGCATCCCATGTCCATCTTTCTCTGCGATTGTTTCGCTAACAGTTGGGTTCCTAATGCCGGTTTCCTTAACAAGTCTGAACAGTTGCCTGCTGTTACCTATTGCCGCTGCCTTTTACATCTCTCTTGCTTTCGCTATCCACCACTGTTCACGATCAATGCGTAGGCTTCTAGTCAGCTTACGCTTAAGCTGACTCCACTCTTCGTTATGTTCAGAGCCAGATAGAATGAGTTTTCCAGCACCTATCAGTGCGGTAGATGCTGCTGAGATCCAGTGTTTCTCCCTAATTTTATGGTTTACCCTACTTGCAGACATCACTGCTGTTTCTACAGCTTTTCGGATGTCATTCCACGCTGCCTCGGGGTGGGCGTCACTTACATGGCTGTCTAACTGTTTTTCTAGATGTTCCTGAAATATACTCTTAGCTTGACTATCATGTAGTAGGACCCTAAGGGGTTTCCTTGCAGCATGTTTCCTACGTCCAGCAAGACGTAGACAAATACGCGCTTGCACTAGAGCATGATCTGAGTCTAAGCATGTGCTCCAGAATGAGCGACAGTCTTCTATCGAGCCCCTCCATCGGTGGCTGATAGCGATGTGATCTATTCGGGTCCAGCGTTGGGACGAATTAGGGGGTGGTCAAGATGATACTGGAACTGAGAAAGTAATGGACAAATATCATTACAAAAGTTTATTACAGACTTTCTTCGAGATGCTAACAAACTCAGTGAATTCAAGATAATCCTCAGTCAGTCAGCTGCAACGTAGGACCAGGCACGTATATGCATCGGTCCAAGTTGCCATACCGCATTAGCACAACAAGATGAACACCGGATTCATAGGAGTAGTTAATTCAGTGGTGGTAATCTATAGAAGAAAGATTGTGTATAAGGAGATAGTACAGGAAGAAAGAATTAGTTCCTAGACAGATATGAAGCGATTTTAATCTCTTAATTTAAGGAAGACAGAGAGTGTATACACCGACGCCATTGTGATCGATTCTGAGCCATGTCACCAAGAGTCTCCAACCATTGGTTACGATAGTCACGCGGACCCCAACCAGGCAGTCTGAATCTCCCAACATGACTCAGACCAGAAGTTAGTGACTTCAAGCACTGATGCCACGTTTTGGTTTGGCCGCCCCTAACTTTCTTCCAATTATCCCCTGCACTAGTCAGCATTGCGCGTCGTGGTAATCGGTGTTCAGGCATACGCAACACGTGGCCCAACCATCTCAGTCGATGAAGATTCATAACCTCATCAACTGATTTACCATCATTCCCTAATACCCTGCGTCTAACCTCACTATTACTTACCCGGTGATCCCAGCAGATACCCGCAATATTTCTAAGGCACCTGTGGTCAAATACTAGTAACTTACGAATATCTTCCACTCTTAAAGGCCATGTTTCGCAGCCGTATAGAAGGACGGAACGAACTGCCGCGCAGTATACTCGTCCCTTAATTGATAGACGAATATCTCGCCTTCGCCATAGATGACGTAAGTTGGCAAAGGCCAAGCGAGCTTTTCGAATCCGTGATGAGATTTCGTCAGACACCAACCCATTAGGGCTGATCAGACTTCCAAGATAAGTGAAGTTGTCAACGCGTTCGACTACTTCACCCCCTATCCTTAGTTCAGGTGTTGATGCAGACCAGTCCTGAAGCAACAACTTGCATTTAGAGGGAGAAAAGCGCATCCCAAACAATCGGGCATTGTTGCTCAGTGCTAACAAAAGACTTTGCATTTCGTCAGCGTCTTCACCAAACAGGACTATGTCATCTGCGTATTCCAAGTCAATAAGTGGACCTCCTGGTAGGAGATCAATACCCGAGAAGTCAGTCGATGAGAGCGTTATTTCCATCAGGATGTCTATGATAAAGTTAAACAAAAAAGGAGAAAGTGGACAGCCTTGACGGACGCCACTTGAGGTTGCAAAAGCAGATGACAGTTCGCCATAGGCTCTGACCCGACTAGTAGTGTTCGAGTAAAGAGCCTTCACAAGGTTTATGTACTTCTGAGGTACGCCTTTCAATGACAGACACTGCCACAGAACCTCTCGGTCAACAGAGTCAAACGCTGCTTTTAAGTCAAGGAATACCACCATTGTCGGACGCCGATAAGTATGCCTGTGTTCTAGAACCTGACGAATGGTGAATATGTGGTCGATGCAGCCACGACCAGGTCTGAAGCCAGCCTGATTTTCACGTGTTTGCAGCTCACGAGTTTTAGTTAGGCGTCCGAAAATTATCGAAGCTAGTATTTTAGATACTATATTAGTCAAACTAATCCCTCTGTGGTTGTCACAGGATGATTTTGACCCTTTCTTAAATATTGGGACGATAAGTGATTGTGACCAGTTAGATGGGATAACGTCTAACTCCCAGATTTTAGCTAAAATATTAGTCAAACTAATCGCTAAAACTAGACCACCATCCCTAAAAACCTCTGGGGCCAATCCATCTGGACCAGCTGCCCTTCCTCGTTTCAGATTAGCTATAGCCTTTTGAACTTCAGCTAGAGTTGGGGTACCTACTTCAATGTTCCATTCATACTGTCTGGGAATAGAGGGTAGTTGT